ATCAAAATATCATGCTATATAGTCTTGAAACTATCCGTTTCGTAATCTTTTTAATCTCATGTCACTATCACGACATGTCAATGTTATCTCAATCACATCACAATTTTCATCTCATTCTCAGTTCAATCTCATCTCATTTCAAGTATATCTATTCTCGATCATTACATTTGTAAATATAATGTTCGTGTGTGTTAGTTAGTTAGTTAGTGTGTTGTTCATATTGAATATTTATTTTCAATGACAGTTGTCAATCATGACATTAGAAATTACAAGTTTCTTCAAGAAGGTCATGACAGTCCTCCCCTCCTAATCTGGTTGATATGCCGTCGGTGACACACTCCCGATGCTGTCTCATTTCTGTCTATTTAGGGTAAGCTTATTTTCTCGTAATCTGTCAAATACTTTATGTAATCTCTCCATTGTCTTTTACCCTTTTACTAAAATATCATCAAAAAGACAAATGACGCCATCAATTCCCTGTAATATGCTATCCATAAATTATTGCCATTGGTTTGGAGCTATCTTGACACCAAACATTAGCCTATTAACTTTGTAAGTTCCTTTATGAGTACTAATTGTTTGTAGTCTTGCGCTTGAGTCATACATTACCATGTGTAGATATGCTTGTGTGATATCTAATTTACAGAACCATGTTCCTCCATTCATCTGGGCAAAAATATCGTCAATGATCGGTATTGGATAATTGTCGTCCTTTATGCATTTGTTTAGCGTTACTTGTAATCTGCGCACAGCCTGATTGAACCGTTAGGTTTAGGAACTGGCACAATTGGTGTGCCCCATTCCGAATTTTCTATTTTTGTTATAATGTTCTAGGCGATCTAATTCCTTTCCTACTTTGTCAACTAGGGCATAAGGTAATCTCCTAGGCTTGATGAATATGGTTGGCTGATAGGGTCATTTGGGTAAGATATGTCATAAAGCTTTTGATGTATTCTTGGGTTAAGGAAGGTCAGTAATACTCTTATTTTAGTTTTGTCTTCTGTGATGTTTTTCAAAGCAATGTATGTTTCAAATCGTCGTCGAAAATTTTTAATGGATTCTTCTTCCTGCATCGGTTGAAACGGAATGTTGAGGTTCGCCACTGAAGATAATGAATTTGATGAGGTGGTCGCGATACATACTGATGAAAGATTTAGTAATTTTATCTTCAATCTTAATAGGTCTTCTTCAATTGTATATCTAATTTCGTTTTCATTCTCAAGTTCACTATCCTCTACCAGTTGGTCTATTTTAGTTTAACTTTTGGTTGTACTTTTCGGATAATTTGTCAAGTGCAGTTTCACGTACCTTAAATTCATTAGCTGAAATTTCGGAGATCTTATCAAATGTTTCATGTATTTTTTTGTAATTTGTCCTTTAATTGAAATCCTTGCTTTTTTTAGCTTTTCCATTATCCTCGTCGCCACTTTTATATTTGTAAATATAATTGTGTGTTGTTCATATTGAATATTTATTTTCAATGACAGTTGTCAATCATGACATTAGAAATTACAAGTTTGAATAAAATATCAAAGAAGGTCATGACAGATCACATCTTAATCCTTCAATAACATGTCAATATAACGTCAATGTCAATCAAATCTTAATATCATGTCGATTAATGTCAATCTTACTCCATTAAGAGATAATCTCAATTCACAATCACGTCAATCAAATGTAAACGTTAATTAAATCTCATCTCAATCTTATCGCAATATCATTCCAATATCTTCTATCTGTCAATTTTATCTTAATATAATGTCAATATCATTTCAATCTTTCGCGATTTCATCCCAATCTCTTAATCTCATCTCAATCCAATTTCAGTATCATCTTTTAATAATGTTAAAAATTATCATGTTAATATTAGATCAATCTCTTCTTAACATCCTGTCAATAACATCTCAATGCCATCTCAATATCACGTCAATAGCATTTCAAACTCTTTTCAATATCATGTCAGCATCATTTTATATCTTTTCGTTCCCATCTCATTATCATCTCAATCTCTTGAGTATATAATCTCAACCTCACGCACATCGCACTATCATGTCAATATAGTCCCAATCACATCGTTACCTCATCTCAATCTAATGTCAATATAACGTCAACCTCAATCATACTTAAATATAATGTCAATCTCATTCCATTTTCTATAAATCTCTTGTCACTATCACGTTAATCTCATTTCAATATCATCTCAACCTGTTCTCGAACTCAGCTCAAACTGCAAATTTCATGTCTATCTAATCTAAATATCACTTCAATCTAATCCTAAGTTTATGTCAATCTCTTTTCGGTATCATCTCAATCTAACCTCAGTCTCTCAATCTTATCTCAAATTCATGTCTCTTCGCGATCTCATTGCAATCTCTCAATTTTATGTCAATATAAGTCAACATCAATTACATATCAGTATCATCTCAATCTTATTTTGTGATAATCTCAAGTCATTATCACGTCAATCTCATTTCAGTATCATCTCAATCTCGCCAATATCAGCTGAATCTCATTTCAATATATTTTCTATCTCCTCTCCATATTATTATGCCAATATCATCTCAATCTCTTTTCGATATCATGTTAAAATTATCTCAATCTCTTTTCGATATCATGTCAATATAACTTCTACGTCAATGACATCCCTATAATATTATGTCAATATAGTCCCAATCTCATACAATTTTATAATGATCATGTTGACATCATCAACAGTCAAAATTTCTTAATTCATTTAGGTACAATTTGCACACTTATGAAAGTCAAATTTGATGCCATAGCAATCTCATTTGAATATCGTCTCAATCTGTACTCGATTTCATCTCAAAATCATGTCAATCTTTTCTCAATATCATTTAGATATAGTGTAGCCAACGGGCTGACAGTTGATATTGACATTCTCATCTCATTCTAGCCAGCTCACTCACATTTTTTTTCTAGTTAGGGTAAGTAGGAACGAAATAAAATCCTCTAATCATTATTAATTTTTATTACTTACACTAATATCACAATCGCTTCGTAACCTCGCGCTTTGTTAACTTACGATATTGTCGTATTTACATAAGTCACAGATAACATTTCAACAACGGATCAATAATAATAACCATCAAACATGGAATCGATGCATCGGTAAATCTATTAGGGGATCTCCGTGTGGCGTGGTCAGGTCACTCACACGAGGATCGGTCGCCGGCGCGGGCGGCCGCTGGGGGGGCGCGCGCGCTATAACGGCGCGTCGGGACGCAGTACGGCGACGGCGGGCGGCGCGTGATGCGGCGCGTTGTGCGGCGCGTGATGCGGCGCGGGGTGCGGCGCGGGTCGCGGCGCGGGGAAGGAGGGCAGGCCGCCCGCCAGCGCCGCCAGTCGCCGCGCGTCTAACTGAACGCCGCCGTTCTCGTCCCGCCCGTCGACCCGTAAGCGAGGATACAAGGACGACTCTTCGGTTTGCACTTGTCGATCCGACCAACTCCGTTCTGTAAATATTGTTGATAAAGATGAAAAATTAAACATGCCAGAAACATATTAACGTGACGTGGCGCATCGGTTTCATACATTTATTATGGGTTAGAGAGAGATAGAGAGGTTAAAGCGTAGCCATAGTAAATGTATGAAACCGATGTGCTTCCGGCGCGCCACGACACGACACGACACGTTAATATGTTTCTGGCTTAACTGTTGCCATTATTTTAACTCGAGCGATGAGATTCGGTGATTGGTTTCGTTGTCGTATTATTCGCATATGGAATGCGTCACGTGCTTCTTCCCTCTTACTACCCGGAGTCCTATAAAAGAGGCGTGAATAGGTAACTCGCAGTATGGAAAGGTGAGCGGGGCTGGTGTAGCAAATGAAACAATAACATAACATCAGGTGGTGTGGAGTCATCGTTTGGACCTTTGTATACAAAAAACAATGTTTTTTTGGAGTTTACTCCTTAAGAATCGATTTGCATATATAAGGGGCCCGGTATGAGAAAAATGTGAGGAGTAAAATCTATCAATGAATGACATTAATGACCTTTCACTTTTAGCCATGGCAACGGATAAAAAACATTAAGTTGTCACAAATGTCAATAAAATAAATAAACTAAAAATAGATAAAATCGGAGCAAAATTAATGATAACAAATAAATAACAGAATATAGAGAAATGCCGGTAAGTGTCCAGCATTCTGGAATAGTTATTTTCAGTGCAGATGGAATTATAATACATATTTACAAAACGATGACTAGTGTGTGATAATTTTGAAATTGTGTGTTTCCAGAAATACATAATAAAATATATGATGTATATCGCTGTTGTTAGATGATAAAATGTGAGACATGGGACCTATGATAGTCGAAACCATGGCACGATTCCTGAGGTATCCCTACTTGTAACCGACTTCTTCGGACTTGATTTTGTTTTGTGTCTGTTCAAAGACAATCGTTTTTAGAGTGTAAACTCCGGTCGTGCGTCGGAGTTGACACACACAATTTTTCTTTATTTGAATCTAAAGAGGTGTTTTTAATTTGCTAAAAAAGCAATGCAAAAAAGGGTACTGAGCACTCCTTCCTTAAGGCCGGCATCGCATTTGTGATACTCCTGGTGTTGCAAGTGTTCATGGGCGACGGTGATCACTTATCATCAGGTGAGCCGTCTGCTCGTATGCTCCCTATATCATAAATAAAAGAAATCAAAAGCGCAAGTGGTTAATATACAACTTTAAAACGTCGTAGATCCTAAACGATCATATAAAATAAAAAATGGTGTAAGAAACCTAAACATGATTTTCGATCATCTAGACAATGATACCATACTCGACATATTTTGTCAACTTATTTTTTTTACTTCGTCACAATATGGCGCCTAATTTTCCCCATATTGAATTTTGATTATTAACATATAACTTTAGTAGCACTCCCATGATTGAGACGAATCGATCGACGTATGAATCATCAAAATCGGTCCAGGCGTTCGGTCTCCAGTGTGCCACAAAGGAACGAACATACATATACAGACCGTTAAACACTATACCCTGTCTGCGCGTCGCGCTCTTGCATTGCGCAGTCGGGTAAAAAGGAATGCAACTGACCGGTGTCATTGAGCGTGGAGAGGTCGGTGGAGGGCGTGAGGTCGTTGGGCCGGGGGAGCGGCGCCGCGCCCACCAGCGCCGCGCACACCGCCCCGCCCGCCGCGCCGCGCCCCGCGCCCCCACCCCCCGCGCCACCCATCCCCGGCATGGCCGCCACGCCGCCCGTCATGGAGCGCCAGCGCGGCGGCATGAGGCTCGCGCGCACGTTGCGCTCCGGCCGCACGATTATTATGTACAACTGCAGGAAAACATATTATTATACTTTTATGGTTAGGTTGTAGATGAAATATAGGTAGACGTCGAGTCTTAGTTCGATTCAAACACGTCACTTTGAATATTCACTTTAATTTACCTAATCCAATTTTTACAGTCACAGAAGGGCTAAGTGACACACTGGATTAATGAATGGCAGGTCTTACAACTATTTATAATGTAGAACATACGCAATAACCATAGGTTTGAGTAGTCCGAACGGAGCGCAAACAGTCATGCATTCGCCGTGAGATTGAGATACAGACTGGTGCGCGCGGCTACTGAACGGCCGGCGCAGGAGTCGGTTACGCGAACAAAAGAATTTAACTAGGAACTCGTTTAGAGTGCGCGTGTCCATTCCGAACTTACGACAAATTGGCACGTCATTATAAATAAATATTTAATATGGTAATTTAATGTTTTTGTGAATATTTGTTTATATATAATATAATTATGTATATTTAATATGTATAATATTTTGTTATATATGATATGTATGTTATTTATGATTATTTATATTATGTTTATTTATTAGTATATGTGGAAAATAATATAATGTTGCCACACTTTTATTTTAAACATTTATTTAACTGATAGATATTTTAATATTAAGAAAATTTTACTACAAAAATCCATTCAATCCGATTCCGGAAGCAAACGACCCTCCGCCGGATAGAATATAAAGGACAATGTTAAAATTGGCCTAAAAACCAACACCAATTTGGCATTTATGATAATTCTTAGTTTATTATTGCGATAATTATCAGTATTTAGATTGTGACGGACACTTCCTGTTAAGTAAGCTTAATTAAAAAGTTAAGAAAATATCTGAGACAATAAATACCATTTTATGTGTATAATCTATGACAGCGCTGCAAACAAAACACTCTTTCTTCCTAATGCCGGCACTTCACTTGGCTATTCGTATTTGCTATTTGAAAACTTGACATCAGTCTGTCCTTTTCATTCCTTATTAAGCATGACAAGGACAAACTGTTGTCAAGTGAACGGCCGGCATAAAATCAGTGGCATTCGTGCATTCTCGTTTCGGATTACTTGTTGTGTGTGTTTATTTGCGATTATTTTTCCTTTAATTTAACTATTTCGGCTATCTAATATGCCATCGATGTTACCAAAGAGCAGAAACCTTATTACCGAATGCTAGTGAACCTGTGCCACAACATCCTGAGGGCATCATACTGCCAAATTAGTCAAGAGCATCTGATACACATTCAAGCTGCATATTTACACAATATACATGTGTTTAGTAAATACAATATGATACAATTATGTGAAAAATAGTCAATAAATAAGAAGCAAAACTACAGTTTTTATTTTATTCATGATTCCTACCTAACCAAGTTTTTCCTATTAGCTATTCTTTAAAACACACCGAATAAAATTAATTAGTTGTAATATTAATTCACTTCATACTGAGTTCATACTAAGTTTATAGGTTGACCTATGTTTCATTTAATATTAAACATAACTTCAAAAAAAAATTTAGTTTTCCTAATAATTTTAAGTTCTCAAAAGTGTCCGTCAATAATTTTTGTTTTTACAGTCATTTACTGACCATTTCGAACCTAGAAAATAATATTTTATGATTGTTGGTTCTTAGGCTAACTATGTATGGACGCAGAACAATGTCTTTTAGAGCACAAAAACTTTTAACTCAGGGGGATCCCCCTGGTGACTTCGTTTTATTGATGCAGTCATTAAAAGTTTCCGTGTCGAGTTGATGATTAAAACACTGGTTTACGTAAAAAGTTATAATAAGTATTAAATATTTTTTGTCAGTAAAATAATGTGCAATGTTATAAAATAATAATCACTCTTAAATTATGTAAATCGCGCTTATAAAATGTGTGTACGATTAATGAACCGTACAGGCGTTATATTACCTTCCTGAAGAAATGGTAATGGATGGCTAGCTGGACATTAAGAGTGAGAGCGCAAAAAACGATAAAATTAACGAATTCAACAAATTATTGAAGACACATCACTGGACAAGAAATCCCACTTTTGTAATAAATGGTGTTTTTATAAAGTTGAACACAGAACAAACTCTATTGAGTCCGGGGATGGGAGGTTGAAGTATAAGATTAAACCAAAACCAAATATAGCTACTAGATAAGTTGCAAAAGGCTCGAGCTATTATTATGGGCTCAATAGAAAAAAAGGCTCATAAAGACTAAGCACCAAATTGACGAACACTATCTACTAGCGATATCGACAATTTTAAAAGAATTAGTGGATCAAGATATAAGCGTGTCCTACGCTAGAAAAATTATATATTTTGTAAACTAATTTACAATTTAAACTATACGTGACCATATACATAATATTTGTTCTAAATAATTGTGAGAATCTAGCTGATTATGTACTTAATAAGTTTTCCTACGCCGGTTATTGTACTCTGAATTGTTTTTGTTAAATTAATTGTCATAATTATGATGCTAAGATTAACATATATCAGATGATTAATTTAAATATATTTTTTGATTTTGCCGAAATATCCCTTATGTTTTAAACAGGAGACATCTGGTCCGGTCTTCCAAACATATCCGGGCGAATATACCCATGCACATTTTATTAAGTTGAAACTTGGCCCGCGGACCAGCTTTTGCGTGGACGAGATGTCCCAATAACTTAACCGTTATCGTCTTGAAAGTAAACTGTCACTACGCCGCGTCATCCTTATATACCCTAATCGGCTCATTCCAGAAAAGTCCAGTGCAATTGAGAGTTGACTACGGCGAATAGTTATACATAGGTAGCTCGCATGAGTTGTAAACAAGTAGTCGGATGTCATTGCATTTTTACCGTATTGCATAAGGCTCATATTAAAATGGACCACATCTCTCGGCCTTCATCGAGGTCATTGAAGTCGCAAGTCGCTGGTTCTGGTTGAATCTATTTCCAGTATGTTCGTGATTTTGGTTCAAGAGCGTTCGTGACACTTTTAATTTATTTCCACTTGTCTTAATTCATCTTAAATAATAGCTGTCGAAGAAAAGATAGCGTAATTGATACCTTGGGGGTGAAGAGGCAGACGAGCGTGACGCTGGCGCTGAGGGAGATGGTGACGGCCATGCTGGTGACGCGCAGGGGCACGTGCGACGCGGTGCCGAAGTACAGCGGCACGAACGCCAGCCAGATCACGCACGTCGTGTACATCGTGAACCCTGGCCCGAACAGATACGAATACACTGGAGTAGAGACTAAAAAGCTAACTACAAAAAATATAAACGAAAATATAACTAGAAAAAAAAACCACGCGGACCAGGCAGCAGACGGGACTCGACCCCCGCACCCTTCGCAATCCGGACGAATGCACTGACCAATTATGCTACCGCCGCTTTTACGGACCGCGTCGAAATTCTTCTAGCCATTCTTAAGCTGCAAGGCAGCGCCATCTCTTCGCATTATAGGTAACCCACAATGTCAAATAAATACTTGCATTCGCCTGGATTGCGAAGGGTGCGGGTTCGAGTCCCGTCTGCTGCCTGGTCCGCGTGGCTTTTTTTCTAGTTATATTTTCTTTAGATTTAAACATCAAGCAGTTACATGCTTTAAAAATAATAAAAAAGAAAAAAAAATATAACTACAAAAAATATAAACAAAAATCCAATTTCGTCGAATGAATGCTTAAACATTCGATCTTGTTCATAAATGCGATAAGATCTTATATGTAAACATTTGCATGACGAACTACGATCAGATTATGGTTTCAATTTTACTGATATACTTTTAGATATACAGATCGGGCTCAACAGATCTAAAAGGGGTTTCTGTTCAGTGTTTTCAGAATCTAACCGACCACAGAATAATCAATTCGATCTTATGTAACAAAAATAGTGTTACCGGAAAAAATCAAAAGAGCGCGTCTGAAATCGGATTCATTGTCTAACTCTTAAAAAGCTGATCATTTTTAAAAAGCAACTAAGATAAGCGGGTAGCGAAAGCACGGTAATATTATCTATACAGTATTGTGACTTCGCCCTGTCCTTGAAAATAAATGCCTACACCGAGCGCTGCGTTGGCACGCGGTAGGGCCGCCAGCCTACAGTATTTTATGTAGTTTTGTTTTTAACGCGAGTGTAGGTAGATTACTCGTTTGTCTCCTTTTTCATCCTAACCACTTATTTATATATTATTCCAGATATTTTGCCCGATGGAAAAACCGAAATACCTAAATATTAGAAACAAATAACGTACTAGTAGATAGGTATATAAAAAATATTCTATAAAGGTAAGACACCTTTCCAATATTTCAGGTAATTTAAAAAATGATATCTCTGGGTGTGTTATTGAAGAGTTCAAGCAACCAAAAATAGCAATTGTGCTGTTGTACGATATTGATCGTCGTTTGTTCTTTTCCATACTAAATTATGTAGGTATCTACTTAATTAAATCAAATATTTACAATACAAAACGCATGTTTAAGCACAGCTAACTGCATAAAAAACAATTCAGACCGTTCGGTCGTCGTTGCGGCGCGGCGGCGCATTCGCGACTGGGTGCCCGCCGGGAGCACATCGAACTCGAGTGGCGTAGGTATGACTCGCTTTCCGACCGTTTGTATGAAGATAGAATACTGTATGATATTATTACCGTGGCGAAAGTCTTACCAATGTGCTTGCTCTCGTTAAACGCTTCCGGTATTTTGCGCGTGAGCACGGCGTAGACGGTGCAGACGACGATGAGCACGACCGGGTAGAAGAAGGCGATGGTGTAGGACGCGTCCACGTACGAGTCGCACACCAGCATGTTGTCCTCGCGCGCCGGGTAGTGGTGGATGGCGCGCGCCGGCGACACCACTTGCCACACCACCACTATTACTACCTGGAAAAAATTAACACTTATTACTTCTGTTGGATTTCTTTTGCATTTCTCGCTTTCATCTAAGGAGAAGTGGATGTGGCTGAAAACCAGCGCTGCCCGAGACATTCTGTAACGAAGCAATTTATGCTGAGCCACATCCATTTGCTCTTCACGCTGTCATATCGCATTGTACTATATATTGAACTGTGTATTACTGTGAGAGTAATAAAAATATTTCTATTCTATTCTATTCTAAAGACTATATCAAATGAACTTACTAATCGAGAGACTTGCTTAAGTATTTCTCCACCACAAGGTATTGTACCCAAACATAAGCATTCTATACTTATTAGTATTCCACTATTATATAATATATAAGGTCAGCGGTCGGAGTCGATTGCTATACGCCAGGAGAGACGACGGCCGATGGACTCGTAGGATTTCCGAGTCGTAACCGAGAACTGGCCGAAGGAAGCTGAGAAGGCAAACCTATCCGCTGGTTTGATGATATCACCAAAATAGTGGGCAAGACCTGGATGCGCGGATTAAGTACCTAAGTAGCGAGGAATCGGAAATCGCGTGATGAGACCATAAAGAGGCCTTTACCCGACAATGGGTTAATCCAGGCCTTTGAATAAGAGATTATAGTCATACGCGCAGACACAGTTTTGAACAATGATGATATAAGGGTCTGTCCGAACGAAAAAATGAAGTCAATGTACTTGGAAAATTGTAGATTTATTTGTCACTCAACACGAGATTTTACACAACCCTTATTTATTTATCTTTTAAACAAAAATGTATACGTGCGAACTAAGGGGATTACAGAGGACGACTGGCTCGTTCGCTCGACGTCGCAACAGACGTGCAATAAATGCTTTGTTGACAATACTGTGTCCCCACAATGAAAAAAAAAATTGTGTGTGTCAGCTCCGACGCACGACCGGAGTTTACACCCTAAAAACGATTGTCTTTGAATAGACACAAAACAAAATCAAGTCCGAAGAAGTCGGTTACAAGTAGATATACCTCAGGAATCGTCCCATGGTTTCGACTATCATAGGTTCCATGTCACACATTTTATCATCTAACATCATCGATATTCATCATATATTTTATTATGTATTTCTGGAAACACACAATTTCAAAAATATCACACACTAGTCATCATTTTGTAAATATGTATTATAATTCCATATGTACTGAAAATCACTATTCCAGAGTGCTGGACACTTACCGGCATTTCTCTTTATTTCTGTTATTTATTTGTTTTCATTAATTTTGCTCCGATTTTATCTATTTTTAGTTTATTTATTTTATTGATATTTGTGACAACTTAATGTTTTTTATCCGTTGCCATGGCTAAAAGTGAAAGGTGCGCAGATGAGGTTGCGCACAAAAACGTAACGAGGTCATTAATGTCATTCATCGATAGATTTTACTCCTCACGTTTTTCTCATACCGGGCCCCTTATATATGCAAATCGATTCTTAAGGAGTAAACTCCAATAAATTACCTGAATGGAGACGAGAATGGCACAGATGACGAGTTGTGATTTGGGTGAGATGAGTGAGGGGCGGCGCGCCGAGTGCTTGCTGGCGGCGAAGATGCGCGCGATCCTGTTGGTCTTAGTGAGCAGGGCCGCGTACACCACCGTGAAGCAGAACCCGGTGCCGAACCTATAACAGACAAGTTGTACATCAAAACTCAGAAATGGACAGTATTGCTCAGTGTTCAATGTACTATGTACCGGTGGGGGCAGATGTTTGTGTGATGAATACGAGCATTTGAGTCGTATAGTATCAAAGGCGGTAAATATTTGGCAAATCAAAAAAAACTGTTTAGTCTCGACTTTAAGGGAGGATAAAATATTGACATTTCACTACGATTTGTAGTTATGATGAATGTCAATTATAAAAATGCTCCTCCCTTAAAGACATATTTGGTTCGCCCTACTTTGCCGCCTTTGATACTATACGACTCATTTGTACTCCAGTCATGGATGTTTAATATGTTATTCTATATAAATATACTCATATATGAACAGTATATGTATTCTACCCGTTACCCTAGCATCCCATAACACAAGCCTTACAGTGTGCTTACTTTGGGTCTAGGCTAATTGGTGTGAGTGTTGGAAATATTAATTATTTATTATTATTACTATATGCTTTGTCACTTTTACTGTAATAAATTTGCGCTTCAGATATTTAGAAAATATGCGATTAAGATGATTTAAGCGTTTCTAACTAGGGCAGATCGGTGCACTTTCGTATCATTGTGACATCCAAAATTGAAATTACAACGATTCTGATATCTGATCACTCATTTTCTTTTCTTTGGGAGTTTCTATAAAACTGCATATTTATGACCATTTTGCATTGTAATTCTCATTGAGAAACAATATAAGTCAAAGATAAACTAGAAACAAAGAGATCGTAGTCGGTGACATATTAATAAAATATTTATGTGTTGAGTTCAGCGGCCGGGGCCGGATTTAAGGCAGGCATATGGAGCTGTGGTTCAGTCCCCACAAAAAGATAAAAAAGTCGATGGGTCATGAACCAGGCACATCGTAAGTGGCTTGGCCTGGATTAAGTGGCTTCCACTCCTTCGTTGCTCCAGTGCCCCTACACCTCTAAATCCGCATTTGAATTCTCGTAAAACGATCCATCCAACGCGGTGTGACCTGCGACTCACCTCTGCAAGGAGCAGAGCAGGTCCGTGGGTCGCTGCACGAGCGCGAAGGTGACGAGGTAGCACATGAGTATGCCGGCGAGCAGCACCAGCGACAGCTCGCGCCCGCTCGCGCGCACCACCGGCGTGCCCCCGCGCGCCGCCCACACGCCCGCCACCAGCCTGACACACACACCGCATCATGTCCCCACTGCTGGGGCACAGGCCTTCCCTATGGAGGCAATAGGGAGACTGGGTCACCCCCCACGCGGGCTCAGTGCGGATCGGTGAGAACGACTGTCTGCACTCGTTTCTTTCGAGGAACTCGATGGCGCAGGTTGTTAGCGCATTCGGCCAGCGATCGTAAAACGTAAGCGACTTTCGCAATGGTCGGTCGTTGAATGGGTGACTGAGAACTTATCATCTCGAGGTTCTCCGTGCTTCGGAAGGTGCGTTAAGCCGTCAGTCACGGCTGCATCTGTAGTCATTAGCACCCACGAATCCGCACTGGACCGCAGCTCAAACTAGCTATTCTTTGCAAAGAGAAGACTTGTGCCTTTCCGATGGGTACATTGATAGGCTGGTGCTGATGATAATAATATTTGTAGACTATTGTAGACAGAGCTTCCTGGAGGAGCCTGGGATGGGTGAGACTGATGACACTCCGAACGTAAAACAGGCACTGAGTAGTAATAGAGACAGGCCGCCGCCGTACTACATCAGGATTATTTATACCGACCGACTAGTCGGTATGTACTTCATTCTAGGTTCTTGTGGATTTCAAGAACGAGAAACAATCTCTCAGATTCCATTGGAGCATACTCATGAAAGCCTAGTGGACTCAGGCCTTGATTTATGCATAATTATGGTTGGATCTTGGATGGAGTATTTATTTCTATCAATTAGGGTTTTTTTTAGGGATAAGATTATTAAAAGGAGGTGGAAACAATAGGACAAAGGGAATCGTAAACTTCCAACGTACATGAGCGGGTAAGTAGGACGCACAGTCAGTTTCCTCGTCTCTAGAAAGAATCATTGCTCCATCCATTTAGTGCTTAAGTAACGCCATTGTAAGCGTTGGCTGGATGATTGGACTATTTGTTTAAATAAAATAAATACTAATTCAACGAATCAGCAAAAATTAAATATATTTTCAGGACCAATCGATATAATAATGTTAATTGGACCTGAAATCAATATGTCAACTGGTTCTATTGAGATACACAGGAATAAACAATAAATTACATAAGTCATAAAAGTCTACATAAAATAACATAAAAATATAAAGAAAACCTAAAAAAAATGCTAATGGTCAGTACATCCTTCTGGATAGCGGAGGCTGCGGGTTCAAGTCCCGTCTGCTGCCTGGTCTGCGTGGAATTTTTTCCTAGTAAAATTTTCTTTATGTTAAAACACCTAACAGATAAATGCTTAAGAAATAAAAAATGTGACTATAAAATCCTAATAAAAAGGAGGCTAGGAAGGGATGGGGCGAGGCCGGCGGTTAATTTTTTTCATTATTCAGTAATAATAATAAACTGATAATGAGGAGCTCGATAGCGCGGGTGGTCAGCGCGTTCGGCTGCGATCGTTGAAGTTAAGCAACTTTCGCAGTGGTCGGTCATTGGATGGGTGACCATAAATTTACTATCTCGAGCTCCTCCGTGCTTCGGAAGGCACGTTAAGCCGTCGGTCCCGGCTGCGTCTGCAGTCGTCAGGACCCACCAATCCGCACCGGGTCCGCGTGGTGGGTCATGGCCCAATCTCCCTATTCTATTCATAGGGAAGGCCTGCGCCCCAGCAACGGGGACATCAATAGGCCGATGATGATGATGATGATGATCGAGTAATAATAATAAACTGACGTAGTGAGCAAGACGCCGAGCGCGGAGAAGGCCATGGCCCCGATGGCGGCGGGCTCGGTGGGCCGCAGGTAGAGCTCGGGCACGCGCGCGCACCGCGTCCGCGCGCCGTCCGGCAGCGTGCCCAGCGGACACTCCACGCACGCCGTCTCCGACACCGGCGACCGGATCTGTACCGACACCAACACCAACGTTGCCTTACACGCCCGGAGGAAAGCAAAGCCAAGGATTGTAACATGCTCCGCTTCGAGAGAGGCTCAAATAGAGTGTTCCATAAAAGGCAGCGATATGGCTGTGGCTGTCGGTGTGGACAACGGCAACGGTGACCACGACCAACATCGAGTGACCCGTCGGCTCGCCTGCCTTGAAAGCCAATAAAAAATCTCTTAAAACTTCTTATAAGTTTGGTTCCTAGTGATGGCAGACAAGGAATGGAATCATAGAAGAGTCGCATTGTTGTGTCTTATATACTTATACATATTAATATATGTCGGCTGTAGATTGCGAACTCTATACATTCTCGATTAAAAGTCTACGCTGATGCTATACAGAAGTTATTAGGACAAAATAAATAATTCAACTCGCTGCCGAGTCACAATAGATCTTTTTGAGTCACTGCGACTTTTCTATATTTCCATTGAGTCCTCATAACCCTTAATTCTCCAAATAATAATAATACATATTGTCTCAAATATTTGCACTATTCACTCAGCCAATTCAGAACTCAGACAATTACTGATGATGATGACGACACCGATATGTATTATTAGTAGTATTATACTGGCGAGATTTTGGAAAGGGAATTTTGATATCGAACCGGAAAGGTAAAATCGTAGCTGAAATCTGTTGAGGTGTAAAATTATTTTACAGCTGTCAGATTTACAGAAGAAGGAGTCACTGTGCCAAGTTGAAGATGTCGACATCATAGGATTTTTGAAATCAAATCCCGTCTGCTTCCTGGACTGCGTTGTTTTTTCTGTAGTGAAATAATATAATAAATGGTTAATACAGAACTATGTACGGCCGATATTACCTCGTACTGCGTGCAGTTGAAACAGTGCCAGCAGCAGCTCTCCCCCTCCACGTACTGCTTGGCCTGCCCCAGCTCGCACTCCGGGCTGCACACCGACTCCGGCGGACGACGCTCGCCTAACTTGAACTGGATCTCTGCAATCGAAATTTCATAAAGACGGTTAACGTCACACTCTAAATGTAATGTATCATACATTAGATCAGGAGTGGAGTGTAGAGGGAGAACATTTTGACCATCTTGATTACAAAATTAGCAAGAATCTTGATCCCAAATGTGTTTCAATAACATGAATAATTAGTTGTTTATAATATAAATAATTATAATAATTTATAAAAGGTATCAGAACCCATGAAACACAAAATTACAAGAAATGGAGACGCAAATACACCTTATTTTATATAATATATATACAAATAAAGCACGTTACATTATTAACATGTGACATTGTTATTTAGATACACTGCCAGTTCCATCCAGTGTTTTCGAATATAGCAGTCAGGTCTGGCCGCGATCATGTTCAGAATGTTGTTACACGCAGGGCGTTATAGATCCTGTGTGTGTATCTACCACTTATTTACCCATTGTCCACTCGAGTAGAAGGATTAGCAGAAGGCCTTAAATTAAGTAACTTTCATTTCCATCAAACTTCGAGCGAATCTGCGGGCCAGCATGTTGCCCATCACATATGATCGAAAGTTACAGGAGGTATTTCTAATATTTTTGCCACAAAAATCGGAACCTGTTCGGGATCTATCTCCTTTAACATACAAATAATAACCCCAATGTTCCGCAACATCATCCCTTTTCGCTTTCTAGCTGTTGGTTGCTTACTTTGCCACTTCAATTTCTTCTGCACTGAAAGCACTCTCACATTGTATTAGGCTTAGTTCATCCATGAAATCTAGCTTATTCTGGACTGGATTCTAAAACCTCAGAGCTGGTTCCCACTTATCGGGTGTCGGATCCGTATATTAATCGGATGTCGGTGCCTTTGTTCACACATACGATTAATAATCGGTTGTCGGTCACGGTCGAAGCTTTACCCAATTTATGCACTCTACGCGAGGCGACTATTCACGATGGACGTTGACCAATTTCTTGTTGTGATGTTCCTATTATTATATAAGAAAACAAAGAAAGAGGGCCATGGGATGTAAATATTGGGTCACATATTCCTGAGTGAAAGATTTGATTTTGGGTAAATTTCAGAATTTAATAACAGAATTGAGAAGTGACGAAATTAAGTGTTTCTATTATTTTAGGATGTCAATATCAACATTCAACGACTGACTGACTGACTCAAATATTAGTGAACATAAACTACCAAAATACAGGAGCTCTACTCTCTTTCTCCGAAACGAAATTTCGGCAACGAATGAATTTTAAACGAAATTTCGCCAGTGACTCTACTCTATTTCATCTTCGAACACGCACATAAAGTTCGGAATCACAGACAATTATCGTGAACGAATGGAATGAGTTATGTTTGTGAGTTCTTTTTGTCTACACTTTTTAGATAACGTTTTTAATTCAAAACAATATTACTTTATGACAACATTATTGAGTTGATGCAATCGAATGTATGTCAACCTAAATTTGTCGTGTAACACTTTGAAGTATTGGAAATACAATAATAAACAAAAATTTGATTTATTTGTAAATTTTTCATACTACAAACTGTTCCTCACGCTAAGCAGCCTTAATTAAAAATACTGTAGTGGTAATTTTAGGTTTAATTCAAACAAAAAACCCAAAAAGAAAATGAAAAGGAAACACTTTTCATTTCGTCAATTTGAGGTTAAAATTACGAACAATTATCTGTCAAATTCAACTTTTAGTTCATAAGTTTTGTGAATTAGAGTAGGCTTAGAAAATTTAAATGACAAACTATTTTCCGACGTACGAATTTTCGAAATGAAATAGAAACAGAGTAGGGAACGTACGAAATTTCCATCGAAATTTCGTTTTTCGTTGAAATAGAGTAGGCCTCCAGGACTTAGAGACTGCATTTGTACTGAAAAAGGGTTGCGTTACGGATGGAACAAGGGGTGGCGGGGGAGGATAGTCAGCCCCAACATCCGACAAATATGAACAGCGCCATTCTTAATCATAGGCGAGCGAGATCCGACACGATTTTTTTCGTACAGGGCTGGCAAAACACCCGACACTTCTTGTCGGAGCCGACACAAAATCGGTTTCCGATAAGTGTGAATAGCTTCATATATAATGCTCTGCCACTGGAACCTCCGATTAATATACGGATCCGACACCCGACAAGTGGGAACGAGCTGTCACTGATTACCATGTTACAACTTAACATGTTTTAACTTTTTCGAAGCACTATTCATTTTTGTAGTCAACGTTAATAGTGCGTGCGTTTCATTACGCATCCGAGACCGGACTGTTTATGTTATATATTCACTAAATTATTGTAATCTAAAACGCATACTCACTCAATTTCTTCTTGTACTGACTTATGAAGAAACTGAGAAGATGTTACTACACATGACTTGATTCCTTACTCGTCTTGCATGAAAATTATTTACAAAATAAAACTAAATGTTGGTTCTAATTCTTGTTAAAAAAGTTTTTTTTTTGTTTGTTAATGTAACTTAAATTTTCGTTTTTCATTTAAAATCATATTTTCTAATCAATGTGGTATCTTGTAAATTTACTTTATTGTGTCACTGGAAGAGAGTGGGTACTTAAGTCACAGGGTTTTCCTATTTTAAGTACCCACAGATCCTTAGTTTTAAAATATCCTGTGCCTGTTATTTGTAAAACCATATTGTATAAAAAATTTGGGAATAAATTATTATTATTATTATTATTATATGTTAAGAATAAATGAAAATAACATTATTCTGATAAGCATTGATGCTATTTAATATGTGGAAAACATTAAGTTTGTAGTTTAATTTGTACAAGATGGCGTCACAGACGAGAAGTTAATTTACAATTCCATTGATCTAAACCATATAGAAGTTGGCTCATAAAATATGGTAATATTATATTATCCAGCACTTACACTTATCCTTATGTTCAGAATGACTAGAGTGAAATAGACCAAAATAAATTGGGTATATAAGTTAGTACCGTCCATATCCAGCTCGAGCTCTCCGTCCAGATATTCTCCGACTTTCATCCACCGATATACTCCTGGAGATACTTGTTTGAAATGCAGTATGTTGTATCGCGCAGGGCCATCCCCGTTGCTGTCGAAATGAAACTCGTCTCCAGTCAGGCCTAAAAATTGACATTAATAATTGGCTAATATAGTGGAATAGTTTTATGTCTTTTACGAGTTGTTATTATGAGTTTCACCTGTGAAGCGTACTTGTCGCAAATACCGGAGGAGAGTAGCGCCGCTGGCCGGTCGCATGGCCTCGCAAAGTCCAGGTTTGCCTCCACACAGATCATTGTGCATGTCCCTGTAATTTTTTTTTGAAATAAAGTTGGTAAAAACAACTTTATCGCGCGCGTTTATTACATATCAGCGAATGCGTAATTGAGCAAATTCCTCCCTTGAATGTACGCGATTATTTGATACTAGTGTTTGGGCATAGATGTGGAGTCTTCTTCAATAAAAACTCGGTGTTTTTGGTAATTTCTCTTTATGTAATAATGGATACAATTTACAAGTAACAGTTTTTTTGAGAGAATGAATTTCGCAAGTCATGACATAATAGTCGGTAAAAACAGCCGAACACACGAACACGAGCGGCATCTGCCATCTGCGGGCGACATCCAATGACGTTTGTGCTAGGAGCGCTACAGTTTACAATCCAATAGATGGCGCCACCCGTTATATAAGTGCAATTCTTTGCTATGATTTGTAATATTCCTTTTCTTTTATATGTATGTATATGTGGGGTTTATACGGGCGCGAACAACTAGTGTTAAGGTATGTCATTAATGTTTCACCTGATCGCATATACAAAAGCGAAGACGGCATCTACCACGAACTGCAGTTGCGCCTCGAACTCAGTGTTCTCGGCAGAGAGGCGCTCCTTCCCCGTGCATGCTCGCGTATACTGCACGTTGTAGGGAGTTCGGGGACTGCCCGGGTAACGGCACCGGAAGTGGTCTTCCCAAAATTCTGCACATACAACGTGTTATATGAGAAAAGTTTCGATGATGGGCTTTATAATAGCGAATATCCATCAGGCGTGAAGTACTGTTGTTGCTAATACAAATCGATATTAATAACATGCTGCATTATATTGAAGCTAAAAATTTATCGTTATGAAAAGTGCCATCGTTGAAGGTCAGTCATTTATCACCATTATGCGTTTGGAAGATTTCCTCCATGTCTTTATTTTCGAGTTCGCCCTCGATCTTTCTCCTAAAGAATATTCGCTAGCAAAAATAGCCCTCATCGAAAATGTCAAGAAACTGGTGCGTTCAATCGGAGGTGCACTCGGTGCGGAGAGGTTTACCGACAAACCAGGGGTTCCTCGGGTTGTTCTCGACGGTGAGGTTGAGGAAGTACTCCCTGAAGCCGCGCACGGGGTTGGCCTGCGGCTGGACGCTGATGGTGCCCTCGACGGCGGGCTCGTTGCCGTCGGAGACGAGCGCCCGCGCGCTCCACCCGTCCGACCCCACCCACCCGAACGACTCCGTCACGCCCAGCCGGCCCACTGCCGACATCACCCCCGCCACCTCTTGGTCCGACCCGAACACTATTACGCCTGCCGATGTCGAGTTAAGTTAGCGAGTCAAAAAATATAAAATATAAAATGAGTCACCGAAGGAGATTGCTCAAATTGGCCCAAATGCAAAAAAAAAAATATTGACATACACGGTAATTCTTGGCGTAATTTACAGTCATTAGATTTCGACGGACACCTTTGTATAATATATTTACTTTATAAAGGACTTTTAATTTTACCGGTTTCGAAAACATACGAATCATGTTTAATGGCTATGGGTGTAGTGACATTCGGCCGAAGACTGATCGAGGTTGTTTATATAACATAAAAACAAATCTATTTTGTAAATATCGATATTTTTTTTGTTTGTTTATTATTAATATAATTAATAGTATAGTGTAGTAGATTGATTAATATCCACCACTATATTATCATTTTCACTAGATGCAAATGTGCTCAGACAATTATTATAGATGGTAGGCGACATCATAAAGTCTATTGCCATACATTTTTCGCCAAAGACCTCCATAAACACATTATAATCTGAATTTATGTTAGACTTTAAGGTACCTACCTATGGGCCTACGTTCCCTGACTATAAATTAATAAATAAATAAAATTATAAGGTGTGACACACTAAAAATCTAAAATATAATAGAACCTAAATCTCTTAGCTTTCTTTCGTTAACGAGAGTTTAAAAATTCTCTCTAATCTGTGGCTCATTCGCATTCATCACACAGTTTCTGTCACAGAGTACCTTATAACCGGAAATGCATAGATGACACCTGATTTTAAAAGTTACTCTTATGCATTAACTTTAAAAACAGGCAACTATCTGTTAATGTACATGCTCTATATACCTGAATCTAATAAATAATTTCGGTACTTGGCTTGGTTTCCCTAGTTTACTATATAACTTATTTGTTTTTTATTATTTTAATATGTTCAGTGTATATGGTTTATAGAAGTTCTCAGGGGTGTCCGTCAATAATATTCGTTTCTACAGTAATTTATATATAATTTCGAATCTAGGAAACAATTGTTCATGATTATTAGTCTTTAGGCCAAACATGTATGGAAGCTGAGCAATCTCCTTTCTTTGTTCGTGTAGGAATAGTGGCCACAGTAAGTAGGCGGTAACATAGGCCAGCGCGCGTGGTCCTCCGAAGCAATGGTGATGGAAAGATAAGGAAGAATTGCTTATTTTAGGAGAAATTCAATTTACTAAGTGTTTAATGAATTCATTTAAAAACAAATTGAGACTTTTCTGTTGTTATGAGAAATGACAATATGATGCATATTGAATGTTAGATGAAAAACAGGAAAGATTCCTAATGATCACCTCGAGCTCTAGGTCTGGACAGTAACCGAGCAACGATCGCGTTGTAAGCTTCCTCGTCTGCTTCCCCCGAGTCTTTCACGAGTCTCTCCTTCACCGCTATGCAAATATTATTCCGCGCGAGCAGCGTTTCCAATTCTTCGAACGCCTGAAATAACCGAACAACTTAATTAAAATGTCAGGCGAATGTGCAGCCCACGTGCGTTGTACTAAAATTAAATGAAATGTACACCTTTATGCCGTAGTTGGATTCTTCGTAAATTATCGACACGTATTTCCAGCCGAGTTTCTTGACTATCTCGACCATGGCGCGCACTTGATGCAAGTCTGAAGGGATGGTGCGGGTGAAGTACTCAAATCTTGCTTTGTTTGAAAGTTCCGGAGACGTCGAGAAGAATGATACCTAAAAGTAAGTCTTAAAATTACACTATTTCAAACTTGATTTCCGGACATGAATCTAAAAATAAGGTAACACTGTTTTTATTTATTTTTAAGCATTTAACTGCTAGATGTTTAAATCTAAAGAAAAGTATACTAGAAAAATAATCCACGCGGACCAGGCAGCGGACGGGACTCGAACCCGCACCCTTCGCAATCCCAAATGAAAATAAAAACGCAATAAAAACATAACTATAATTGCTATTTCTTCTTTCAAATGTTTAATACTTGAAAAAGTATTCATTTGACATTGTGGGTTACCTACAATGCGAAGAGATGGCGCTGCCTTGCAGCTTAAGGCTAGGAAAATTTCGACGCGGCCAATAGGGCTGTGGTAGCATAAGGCTGGACGCATATAAACGTTTTCCGCATTCGATTTCCGAATTCGTTTTACGTATTCGGACATCCGAATGCATGAAATCAGTAGAAAATACATTAACTGACGCACACATTCGCTTTTTTTTCGAACGGAATCAATTCCGCACGTACGTTTCGTGTGCAAGTCGCGCCGTTCGGAGAAACCTACTCGAAAAAACCTAATGACGTCATGCGGAACGCACCGCTTGCATACATTTTGTTTGTGGCGGCGCACACGTTCGGAAATATCTATTCAGTTTCGCGCCCGCGCCGCGCGCATCGGACGTATTCTCTGTATTGGTTACGCATAAATTTGCAACACGATAAATGTGTGAGACAGAAACATTAATATTGGCGGTTGAAAAATACCCCTGCCTGTGGAATATTCATGACAACGACTATCACAATAGAGATGTCAAAGATTTGGCCTGGGAGAATGTATTTAAAAAGGTTATAAAGGATTGGGACACGTGCACTAAAGTGGACAAAGAAAACAAAAGTAAGATTTTTTCTTTAGTATACTTTTTATTACAAATCATATTTATTCTTGTAAATTACTAATTCTCTCGTTATATTGGTACGATATTTCCCCTGCCGGTGTCATAAAGTACTCAGCAAAATTGTCTCTTATGCTTCGACCTCGGTTGGTAGATCTGTGTTGTGGACTACGAAAAGGTATATCTTCAAAGTAATGTGTCAGAGTATCTTCAAATCGATAGCCGTCTCGTCTGCGAACAAAATTATGTAAAACACACGCTGTCTTTGTTACTAATACTGCAAAGTCTGGTGGAATCGTCATGCTAGTGTGAAAAATTCTCCATTTATTCGAGAGAATGCCGAAGGCACATTCCACTACACGTCGTGATCTGCTGAGGCGGTAGTTGAAGATTCTGCGTTGAGTATTGAGATTACTTCTCGGATATGGTTTCATAAAATTGTTACTGAGTGGAAACGCTTCATCGCCAAGAAACACAAAAGGTAGAGGTGTGTCATTGGTATTCGGCAGAGGTTTTGCTTCAGGCATATTAAGGCGATTTTGAGTTAGATTTTTTCCAAAATTCCAATTGTTGAAAATATTACTATCGCTGTCTCTGCCATAAGCACCAACATCTACAGCTATAAAACGGTAGTCAGAATCTACTACTGCTAATAGTACAACAGAGTAGAAATTTTTATAGTTATAAAAGGCAGATCCACTATGCAGAGGAGATATCAAACGAATATGTTTCCCATCCACTGAACCTACACAATTAGGAAAATTAGTTCTTTTATAATAATTTTCAGCAATTTCTAGCCAACGTTCTTTTGAAGATGGTGGTTTCATTTCCAAAGGTTGAAAAACTTCCCATATTGCTGTACAGGTTTCCTTAACTACGGCTGATACTGTTCTGCTTCCCATTAAATATTCAAAGTGTAACTCTTCAAAATTTTTACCAGTTGCCAGGAATCTGAAAAAAAAAAGATTTAAAATAATGTTAATTATATTACAGGTGCTGAGGTCAAGAAAAAATGGACACACATAAGAGACTACTTTCGAAGAGACTTCCATAAAAATAAAAGTGCTCCTACAGGCAGTGCCGCTAAAAAGGTTAAAAAATATGTTTATGCAGACCTGCTGTATTTTCTTATACCAGTCTTTGATAAAAGAAATACCGAAGGAAACTATCAATATGATGATTTACACGTTAATATTTCACAAGAATCTGAAACCCAAGAGGAACACAACATGGAACAAGTGGATACAAATATATTACAACCTCCATCACCTATATCAACTCCACCTGCAAATAGTTTAAAACGAAGCAAAAAAGATATCCCCTCCCAAATACTCAGTATCCTACATCAAAACCAACAGAAAGCCAATCAGAAACGACAAGAAGTAGAAGACGATGACATGAAATTTTTATTAAGCTTTAGAACACATATGAAACATATGAATGAAAATCAAAAAATTGATTTTAAATTGGGAATGCTGCAGTTGGTAAAAAAAATTAACACTGAGTACAATTCCTCTCCATCTTCTACGCTGAGTTATGATAACTTCAGTCAACGTTCAGTAACGCCAGCATCAAGCCGTGGTTATTCTCCCTGTTATTCATATATTCCTGTACCAGAAACTTCACCTAATATGTTATATCAAACGCAAACTCCATTGCCAATCTTTAGTTCATCTTCTTCGCAAAATAAAACCACAAATTATCAATCTGCCCCAAACAATTCCAGAGTGGTTATTAACTCTATTACACATCTGCCACCGCTTCAACCACCACGTCATCTCTACACAGCACCTTCCACATCTCTCCATGATGATAATCTTCAACATGCCGAGGATACCGAAGCAACCACTTACTTAGTACAATCTCAAGGACAAGAAGAGGGAGATAATATTAACAAATACCTAAAATTGAAGCATTAAATACGATTGTTGTTTTTTTTTTAATAAGTACAGATGTAAAAATAAAGATAACTTACCTCAAGGTTATGGTTAGTTTTTCTTCCGTATCCAAAGATAATCTCATGCAAGTATTTTGCTTTATTATTTTTTCACGTATGCCATTATGAAGTTCATCAAAAGAATTTGTTGACATCCTGTAGAAATCAAAGAATTTTTCTGGGTGTGCTCGTAACTTAGCTCTCTTCAAATAATACGGGCTCTCATAGATTCTTCTAGTATTTAGTGGATGTATCCAGTACCGACGACGTTTCTTTTTCTTATTTACTAATAACAGAAATGCAATTGCTAATAAATCGTCGTCCTCCATCGTAGTGCGTTCGCCACGCTATCACTATCTGTACTGACGTTGATACATTCCGAATGAAGAAAGGCGAACGTTTGCGGTAGTCTCACGGAATTCCAATTCGAAATTACGCATTCGGAAAACGAATACGGAAAACGTATATATGCGGCCAGCCTAATGGTCAGTGCATTCGTCCGGATTGCGAAGGATGCGGGTTCGAGTCCCGTCCGCTGCCTAGTCCGCGTGGATTTTTTTCTAGAAAACTTTTCTTTAGATTTAAATGTCCATATATTTTTAATTTTTGTCTATATATAGTGTTTTAATACGTGCGATGTTGCTTGTAGGTTAAAGGGACTACATTTTTAATAAATTATCTTCGAATGAAGCGACTCAAATAATAGCGATCGAACTTCACTAGAGAGTTCGTTTGATCATCTGTTAATGAATAAACCTACTTTTAAATTAGTATGAATGATTTATGGGAGGAATAAGTATTTACTGACTGACCCTTATTACGAACTAAAAAATCTAGTTGTAATATCTCTGCGCAATCATTATCAAATTCAGCAGCTTAAGGCTAGGAAAATTTCGACGCGGCCAATAGGGCCGTGGTAGCATAATGGTCAGTGCATTCGCCCGGATTGCGAAGGGTGCGGGTTCGAGTCCCGTCCGCTGCCTGGTCCGCGTGGATTATTTTTCTAGTAAACTTTTCTTAAGGTTACACTATTTTAGACTTGATTTCTGAAATCTTGGAAGTAGGAGAGGGAAAGGTACAATGAGGCAATGGACATGACTAATTACGTGTAATTATCAGGTGAAGAGCTCGATGGCGCAAGTGGTTAGCGCGTTCGGTTGCGATCGTTGAAGTTAAGCAACTTTCGCAGTGGTCGGTCATTGGATGGGTGACCAAAATTTACTGTCTCGAGCTCCTCCGTGCTTCGGAAGGCACGTCAAGCCGTTGGTCCCGGCTGCATCTACAGTCGTTAGCACCCACCAATCCGCACTGGGCACGCGTGGTGGGTCATGGCCCAATCTCCCTATTCCATCCATAGGGAAGGCCTGTGCCCCAGCAGTGGGGACATTAATAGGCTGATGATGATGATGATGATCAGGTGAGGAAATGTGTGTGTATATTAGTGAACCTGTGGGATTTTGAAGAGTCGCAGCAGGTTGGCGACCTGCACGGAGGTGACGCTGGAGGCGGCGCCCACCACGCCGGAGATGACCTTCCTCACAGCCGTGGCGTTGCACGCGTACTCCGCGTCATCGATGTTGCTGATCGAGCCTGATGGCATATGAGAAACTGTTTATTTAAAGAAAAGTTTATTTATTTATTTTCATTTGGGAAACATACAGTTTTACACAAATCAATTAAGTAACACTTATTACTATTTCATAAACCAGTTCAGTTTCCACAGACTGAAACATTCATAAACTTACAAGAAAAACGTTTCATCATCATCATCAGCCTATTAATGTCCCCACTGCTGGGGCACAGGCCTTTCCTATGGATGGAATAGGGAGATTGGGCCATTACCCACCACGCGGGCCCAGTGCGGATTGGTGGGTGCCAACGACTGCAAATGCAGCCGGGACCAACGGCTTAACGTGCCTTCCGAAGCACGGAGGAGCTCGAGATAGTAAATTTTTGGTCACCCATCCAATGACCGACCACTGCGAAAGTTGCTTAACTTCAACGATCGCAGCCGAACGCGCTAGCCAACTGCGCCATCGAGCTCCTCGTTTTAAAGAAAAACGTTTACTAGAAAAAAATCCACGCGGACCAGACAGCGGACGGGACTCGAACCCGCACCCTTCGCAATCCGGGCGAATGCACTGACCATTAAGACTAGGAAAATTTCGATGCGGCGAATAGGGCCGTGGTAGCATAATGGTCAGTGCATTCGCCCGGATTGAGAAGGGTGCGGGTTCGAGTACCGTCTGCTGCCTGGTCCGCGTGGATTTTTTTCTAGTTATATTTTCTTTAGATTTAAACATCAAGCAGTTACATGCTTTAAAATAATAAAAATTATAACTGTTTATTTACTGCATATTCCCTGATAACGAAAGTCGCTATCCGGTATGTTCTGTGAAGAGTCGAGATAGATTTTGAGTAAAATATTCTTATCATCTATTGAATTATAAGCATTAAACTTGAGGAGCTCGATGGCGCAAGTGATTAGCGCGTTCAGCTGCGATCGTTGAAGTTAAGTAACTTTCGCAGTGGTCGGTCATTGGATGGGTGACCAGAAATCTTCTATCTCGAGCTCCTCCGTGCTTCGGAAGGCACGTTAAGCCGTTGGTACCGGCTCCATCTGCAGTCGTTAGCACCCTCCAATCCTCACTGGGCCAGCGTGGTGGGTCATGGCTCAATCTCCCTATTCCATCCATTTCTCTATGGATGGAACAGGGAGATTGAGCCGATGATATGGCCTGTGCCCCAGCAGTGGGGACATTAATAGGCTGATGATGATGTTTAAATCTAAAAACAATATTAGAAAAATATATATGTTACGCTCAAAGATCGAAAACGCTCAGTGAGCGGAAAAATAGCTCACAACGCGTTGTGGTCACAGTAAAACATCCACATAGCGAAATTCGTGTTGTTGAGCGAGTCTTACAGTAGTCGCGCATGATGTGTAACATTTGAAACCTCACCTAATATTATTAAAAAAAGTAATAAAACACTACAAAAGGAATAAGCCATTTGAACATTATGTTCTAAAATAAATAAAGCGAGAGGAAAGATGTTAAACATCAAAATATAAACATAAAATAAATTGCTATTTTTTCTGTCAAATATTTAATACTTGTAAACTTAGATTAAAGCAAAAAGCTTACAAAGGTATTTCGTTTGACATTGTGGGTTACCTACAACGCGAAGAGATGGTGCTGCTTTGCAGCCTTAAGAAATACTAGAAGAAATTCAAAAGGGCCATTAAGGTCACGGTAGCATAATTGGAAGTGTATCCGCCGGGATAGCGAAGGGTGCAGGTTCGGGTCCCATCTGCTGCCTGGACCGCGTGGATTCTTTTCTAGTAAAATATTTTTTCTAAAAAGCTGCACAAGATAGGGATCTCATTGGAGCCTAAGACCCAGCTGAGTCACGTTGGCTCAGCGACGTGAAGTTTATAAGTCAGAAAAAAAAGTTTAGATTTATAATGTCTACTTGCACCAAAGTTTTCTTATCAAATTTAATACTTAATCACGTTGCAGCCTCACTCTATCTCTAAATGACTTTTAATTGAAAACGATGGAATTATATGTTTATCAGGATTGAATAATTTGATTTAAGAATATTGTGATGCAAGTTGTCCTAGTTCTAGCAGCTTAACGCTTGAAATATATAAAATAAGATCTTTGATGAAGTCCTGCGCAGTCACTAGCCCGTGCAAGAGGTCCTAGTTCTAATGTATTTAACTTGACCAGGGTTTGAATACACGGCATATTTTTTTTTCATACAAAAAACGGCGAACGACGAACTTCCACAGACAACAGTATAAATATTTCATATGGCAGTTGACTTAGTCAATGGCTAGATAGCTAGCCCGTTCTTTCCTCTACAAATCGATATAAGAATGTAGGTGATAGCAAAAAGAATGAATCTTATATTTTCCATAGAATAAGTGGGGTCGCGAGGGGCCGAATTTTTTTTAACGATTTTTGACAGGGGCCTAAAGTCCGGTGATTAGCAATTTAGAGGCTAATGATTTTATTTTTATTTATTTTATTTTATTTTTATTTATTTTATTTTATTTTTATAGTTTTTGGGAAACTTACAGCTAGTTTTACTTACAGCTTACTTGCTATTTTGCATAATATTTATGTTTAAGGCCAATTAATAGTTTCCGCGAATAGTTAAAGTAATAATTAAAAAAAAGTCGGCATGAAGCGCATATGCTTAAATGCATTATTAAGTAGGTATGTATACTATATATACTTATAAGCAATTAAAAAAAAACAGAAAGATAAAAATACATAGTTTAAGTACTCCGTTCAAATAAAAGATTATTGATTTTTTTTAAATAAATTCAAGCTGTCACAAAACAAATCAACATCTAACTGGCCTGATGAGTATTGGTTAAAAGTGTGAGGAGTTTTAATTGTGAAAGAATTTTGACGATAATTAGTTGAGACTAACGGCACATAAAGATTTTATTTATTTTTTAAGCATTTAACTGCTAGATGTTTAAATCTAAAGAAAAGTTTAGTAGAAAAAAATCCGCGAGAAGCATTTTTTAAGCATTTAACTGCTAGACAGCAGTTAAATGCTTAAAAAATAAATAAAATCATAACTATAATTGCTATTTCTTCTTTCAAATGTTTAATACTTGAAAAAGTATTCATTTGACATTGACAGACATGACAGGACATGGGTTACCTACAATGCGAAGAGATGGCGCTGCCTTGCAGCTTAAGGCTAGGAAAATTTCGATGCGGCTAATAGGGCCGTGGTAGCATAATGGTCAGTGCATTCGCCCGGATAGCGAAGGATGCGGGTTCGAGTCCCGTCCGCTGCCTGGTCCGCGTGGATTTTTTTTCTAGTAAACTTTTCTTTAGATTTAGGCACATAAAGAGTTTCAGTGTGTCTATTGAATTTTGACCTTTGATGAAGTCGAGCGCCATCTCGAGTCCGTAGGTGTCGTTGTCGCAGTCGTCGAGCACGTGCGCGCCCAGCGCGACTTGGGGCGGCGGCAGGCGGCGCGCGGCGGCGGCGTCCAGCGCGAACAGCATCGCCTCCAGCGCCTGCACCCCGCCCTGCGCCATCACCGGCCCGCACGTCGCGCCCTCCGACCGACTGTGCACCTGCAAGTGAAATAAAAAGAAAATGAAATGAAAAGTCATTTATTCAGTCTAGGCTGTTACAAGCACTTGTGAAGGTCAAGAAGCTACACCATCGGTTCGCAAAACTACGGCGGGAGACCTTGCACTGAGAAGAACCGGCAAGAAACTCAGCAAGGGCTGCTTTTTTCTCCCTTTATTGATATATACAGAGTCGTCAAGTTGAAAAATGACTTCAGAGATACTTCTGAAATTACCTTCCATTACATTATTTAGGATATAGATATATAGTAACAATAAATTTAATATTCAGTATATAGGAAACGGCATTAGATAGGTACTGTAACGTCCGTGATGTTACAACCTCCTTGTTTAGGTAAACTCTTTGCTTTTGCAATGCCTACGGTTGGCAGTTATATTAAAAAGTTAATGTCATCGTCTGTCTTTTGATAGAAGATTCCATTCAAGTTTAGATCTTCAGGCACCAAGAATTTCCTCTCGTATTTAGATAAAATACTTTTATATTAGCCTGAATGATAAAACAAAATAAATAATTTATCTCTATCAGTATTTTTCAATTAACGTCTACGCTCCCAGGTTCTATCCCTTCTGGGTAGAACTCTATATGGTGGACGCGCCGCGTTAGCTTCAAGTACCGCGAGTGAAAAATAATTTTAAATCAAGAAAGAAGTAGTTTTATGAAGATGGAGACCAGGACCACATTCGACGGAAAAGGTGATGTAACCGATTTCTTTCGTCAATTTAATATCATCGCCGCCATCAATAATTTCAACGAGGATACAAAAAGAGTTGTGTTGTCGGCATATTTAAGTGGACCTGCATTGTTGTTCTATAAAAAAATTAACGAGTCTTGTGAGAATTTTCAGATTTTAGAAAAGAAAATATGTGAGGAATTTCCATCATCGATAAATGCGTTAGAAAAAATTTTCTCACGAAGACAAGGCTTGTCAGAAGAGCCATTGACCTTTTTTTATATATTGGATGAGCTGGCCACAAAAGCGGGAGCTGTCATCGATGACAGATGTTTCATTAGACAGTTCTTGAAAAATGCGAATTTAAATACAAAAAATCTTTTCGCATTTCAGTTATATAGTGATAAAACACATTTAAAAAATATTTTACGTCAAGCGCAGGACATTTTTGGGGATGAAAATGATGAAATTTGTTGGAATCTGCCGATCCAACCATCGTTTGTTACACCAATGACAAACTTCGAAGCGGCGAAAATTTCGCATATAATAAGGAATGAAGAGGAACAGGAGAAGGAGATCAACCTCATTTCCTCCCAAAGTGTCCTTTCTCATCCCATTGTCCCTCCCGAACACATGATTCCCCGCACTTTTTGTTCCAGTAACTTGAACAAAAAAAAGAAAAAACCAAAGAAGCATCAAAAGAAATTTTTTTACGAAGAAAATTTAATGACGATGGCTGATGTTCACCAGTCACAGTCGTCACAAAACAACAATCAGCATACAAGTGAGTCCAAACCTTTAATTAATATAACGTGTCGTGATAAGGAGTTTGTAGGGCTCATTGATAGTGGTGCTGTAGTGTCTGTGGTGTCAAAAGACACAGTAAGTCGAATTCATCAACGAATTGATGAAAGCGATATGAAGTTGAAAGCTGTCGATGGTAAAGAATTGTCTGTTATAGGGAAAGTTAACCTTAAATTATTGATAGACAATGTGTTATTCATTCACGATTTTCTTGTGGTAGAAAATATTAGGCATAACCTCATCTTAGGACAGGATTTCTTACTTCGAAATAATGCGATAGTAGACTTTTATAATGAACAATTAATAATCAAACATATTAAGTGCAAGTTTAAAAGACAATATACACAAAAGAATAATGAAAGGAATAGTGATAATTCGGTGTGTGATGAAAATTTATATTATGCCGAATAAGTTGATAGTACGATAATAATAATGTGTTACTAATGAGATTTTATTTCAGTTTATTGTTTATATGAATGTTTTAAAGCAATGGTGGTATGTAAATAAGGTTCAATACAATAGTCATTTTAGAATTTTATTTCAAAAGCATATTAAATATAACTTTGTCATTTTATTAGATTTTTTTTTTCAATACACATATTATAAGGAACTTTTACACATTTTGTTTATGACAGATCAATAGGTAGTTTCATTAAAGTATTTTCATTTCTTTTAATTGTTAGCTTTATTGTAATTTGTTGAGTAGGTGGATTATTAATATGGTAATAACCATAAGAATGCTAGGTAACAGGTTCGATTCTCTGTTCAACTTGGAATTATTCAATTGACTTTGAATATGATCATTTGTAGGATTAATTCAGTATTAGGATAGAGTATATATAGTTAATAATGTAAAATAGGATAATATAGGTCCATAAAGAAAATTCCCTTATTATAAAAAAGGAAACGGGTTCGATTCCCTGTAAGGTTAAAAAATAAATAAATGAATAATAATGTTAAATTTTGAAAATTTATCCAACTATGAAAAGATGGTATAAAGACTTATCATAAACTTAATGTTTTCATGAATATTAACTTACCCGACTGAAGAAAAATGGTGTAAAGAATTTTACTAATATTTTCTTGATTGTTTTATGTACTACCACATGATGCGGACTTCCCGAGAGAGAGCAGGCTGGCGCTCATGCAGACGTCAGCGATACTGACGATGATCCACCCTGAAGATGATGGAGACACCCTCTACGAATTCGCGTCGTTTTCGTTTCAATTTGGTCGCGTCGCGTTCGTCAAAATCGTCACTTGTAGTAGTTTGACTTGGGGGTAGGGAACCCTTAGTATTCCATGGGAATTGGGTTTAATCTTGTTTGATGCTAGATGTCCTTACCCAAAATTTCTATTACGTTTGCGCATCATGGGTGTCTAATAAATTACAAGACAATAAAGTGGTGGATCACGTCTGTATCTTTATTAAAGATGTACGAAAGTAAACATTAATTATAAATTCTTTTAGGTTTTGCTCAAATCCAGTTAATGTTTACGAATCTTAGGAAATAGTTTGAATTTCGTTTCGTACATCTACTTAGTATGGGAAGTAATGAAGTTTCAAAATATAAGTTTTTTTGATATTTAATGGTTTAATAAATGGGATAGGGTAAAGTTTTGCTGATAGATGGGATAAAATAAAAATTGCTTGGGTAATTTAAGTTATAGCTAGGGTTAGCTTTGTTTTTTTGTTTTTGCCGACTGATGTCGATGTAAAGTAAAGTAAAGTTAAGGTTAGGAGGGAGATGTGCGAGGGATTTTGTTAAGGTTTTGCTCCCGTAAAGTCTTTGCAATAAAACTTTGCAAACAGTTAGGGTTCTTTTCCGTAAAGTTTTTTTTTTTTGCAAGTTTTGCAAACTTATTGTGAGGGCTAGTCTGTAGTAAAGGCCACCTCCCAGTTATATTTATGTCCTTAAGCAGGTAGGGATTTTAGATAGGACCGTCGAACCCTCTCGATGTAGTAGGTAGGAAAAAAAAATTTTGTTCGGTCATCTGGTATGACAAAACAATTTTTTTTTTAGAGGTGCCGGAGGGATGTAACGTCCGTGATGTTACAACCTCCTTGTTTAGGTAAACTCTTTGCTTTTGCAATGCCTACGGTTGGCAGTTATATTAAAAAGTTAATGTCATCGTCTGTCTTTTGATAGAAGATTCCATTCAAGTTTAGATCTTCAGGCACCAAGAATTTCCTCTCGTATTTAGATAAAATACTTTTATATTAGCCTGAATGATAAAACAAAAAAAAAAGGTAAATTTAAAAAATCAAAAAACCCGACTGCTTAATTATACTTCAAATAAAAACTGAAAAGAAAAAAACAAGTCCAGTAGTCTATAATTCTGTTAATAAGGAACAAAGCTACTTTAACAGTCGGGACCCATTAGATATTCAAGAATACATAATATTTTTCAACAGTGGGTCCCGACTGTTAAAGTAGCTTTGTTCCTTATTAACAGAATTATAGACTACTGGACTTGTTTTTTTCTTTTCAGTTTTTATTTGAAGTATAATTAAGCAGTCGGGTTTTTTGATTTTTTAAATTTACCTTTTTTATTTCACACTTTTTAGTTAGTTAGTATTTTAAGACGGTATATACCGTAGTCTTGTTACTTCAGTAAGGGAATTAATATCGCGGGAATTATTAAGTACCTTAAGACAGTCTAAAAATGAATCTAATGATACCGCATACATATTTTTTTAAAGGGAAATTTAGAAAAAATATTATTATGTCTTTATCCCGTGGGACTTTTAGGATAAAATGTATCCTATGACACTCCCGTAATCAAGACAAATCTAACGATACCTCATACATCAAAATCCATCAAGCCGTTTAGGCTACAGGAGGTCACAAAGGAACAGACATACATACATACTTACATACACTCCCTAAACATTACCCTCCCTCTTTGGCAGTCGGGTAATAAATAATTTATCTCTATCAGTATTTTTCAATTAACGTCTACGCTCCCAGGTTCTATCCCTTCTGGGTAGAACTCTATAGTACCATATTACTGTTACAAAAACTGACTCGTACCCATGAAATAACAAATTACAAGAAACACTATGTCCGTGAGTGTGCGTGATAGCCTTCATGTTTTATTATTATATCAGCCGATGTTCTGACAGCTATCCCATATAGACAGAATCACTTGAAAAACTTCTGTTTTGATGTGACTCGTATTATTTGTTAACTGGACGATTGCGAGTCGGACTCGACCATCGAAGGTTCCGTACATATTTGTAGGCACGCAACATAAACGGCCGAACATATTTTTTCCCTTGACTTAATTGCGTCATTTTTCTCAGCTTCAAAGGACCGTAGATATGGGTTTAAATTTCAAACCGATACGCGATAATTAACTATAAATTTTAAATGTATCAGATATACATATAGGTAATGACTTTGTGGCGGCGACATCTATATGCCCCACATATAGACAACGGATGGAAGAAATCATTACTCACCATCCTCAAGAGATGGCGTTACCTGCACTGCGATCAATAAT